CTGACGTTACCGAGCGTTGTATAATCGGCGCTGATATAAATTTGTGAATGGTTATCGTCAACACCCATGAGGCCTATTTGCAACGTAATTTCGCATTGATACTGCCGCATTCTTTGAGTTAATTATTAGCGTAAAACCCCATAAAGATTATTGCATTAACAACTAGAACTGGGAACTTGGCAAATTCTCTTATTAATTTGTATTCAACTCCAAAAAAATTCCTTTGGTACAATATAATTGCCAATGGCAAGTTAATATGTTGTTTCAGATTGCTAGTATTGTTCACATCTTTCAAACACGGATCAGTGATATTGCAGCTCCGTTATATGTCCGATATATGTGAATTTCAACAAATCAGACAGTGGCGTTTTCAACATGAACACTCATAAGTGCCGGTCGGCAACAGAAAATATTTCGATGCCAACGGAGGTAAAGAGAAATAATTGGGACTACACAGCGTCTCGGTGGGGCATATTTTATTAGTATTTTGCACTTTAAAACTCTAATAAAATTAAGAGTAGCTCGGAGCTAATTTAGAGAAGAGACATATTTTCAACAAAGCAACTCCTCTCCCATCTCCAATGCGAACACACATATTTCACATTTAATATCACAAGCCCCACTTTTTATCTTGCACACCCTTCTGTTTCCCGCTCATCACAATTGAATTAAGCGCCTCCTCCTTTCGTCTTGGAGCCACAACTCCGCGCTATAACTTCGTTACACAGTCGCGCTCCGTTTTCCCTCTGGTCGGGTCCTCTGTTGGCAGTCTAGCCAGGAACTAAAGAAAAATTGTAAAAATTTCTTTAAAAAGGGTGTTAGCGAGATAAATATTAGATTGTTGAGCGGAAAAGTATGGATTTGGGTATATTTTCCATAAGAAAAATATTAACAAAAGTATATTTTACTAATTTCATCGTGATTCTCAGCTTTATCTTAATAAGGTGTCACTCAGGAGTTTCTTGCGCCACGTGATAGACCGTTCACTCACACAAATGACACAAAAACAATGGATTATTGAAAAACGTTGTGTATGAACGAGTGGAGTGATAGTCACTCAGCGAAAAACACAATCACGTTGATTCACAGAAATGTCGTTTGCTTTGTGTGTGTGTGTGTGTGTGTGATCGGTTCTAGGACACTATGTGCTGAGTCACGTAGACAGGCGTAGGGCCCGGTTTTATATGAACGTATATGAATTTAAATTCAGTAGAGAAGAGGGGACAGAAATTTGCCGGAAAAATCGTCTGAAATGGAATCTGACTAAAACTAGTGACCTGCAAGTTACTTTGTTACAAACAAAGTTACACAAAATGGCTTTCATAAATGTAGCAGACACATTTTTCAAAAATAAAAATAAAATACTCTCGCAAAACACTGCAGCATATTAAATATTCTACGCGAATACTGCTCGAAGATGGTCCATCGCCTGGAATGCCCCGGCCGCCCCGGTCCCGCGCCCCGGCCCGCCCGGTGTGCGTCTCATGCCCGGGCGCCCGCCCACGCATTACGCGCGCGAGGGCGACGGCGGCGACGGGGGCGGAGCGGCGGGCGACACGGCGCGGCGCGTTTAATTCGCAATTCCAATTATGGCGGCGCGCGCGAAGGCGCAGAGGCGAAGCGAAGCAAGGCGAGGCGAGGCGACGCGCCGACGCATGCAAGTGCCACCCACGCGCGACCTTGCGATCGACCGCCGCGGCGCCGCCAACGCGACGCGGCCGTTTCGCCTTCACCTCGGACACTAGCGCTGCTGCGTGCGCGCTCTATGCAGCCGCGCACCAGCCGTGAACGCGCCGCATCACACTCCGTGTTTCCGCTCCATCCTCACTGTGTTTCGGCACCATAACTTTCCGTCGCTCCCGGCCACCTCTGCCCGTCCCTCCACACTTTCACTTTCCTCCACGCTCCGCTTCCGCCCAATTCTCACTGTGTTTTCGCAGCGTCAATTTTCGCTCCCAGCTCGCTCTATTCGAGATTGGCCTCGCTTTATCCACGCTTCCTTGCTGGCTAGCTTTAGGTTCGTGTTCAGTCTCCTTGCTTCCCGTACCGACGTGGCACCAGCCCCGCCCAATCTCTAATCGAACACTACTTTACTACGGTCACATCCCGCTCCTCACGATCACACCATATATTTGTCTTCGGTCCGACTTTTCTCCATCCCCATTTCATCCACACTTCGTCCCCTCCCGGCCATAGAACTCTTTCCGTTCTCGATACTTCTCATTCCCAAGACACCTCCCTATTTTTTTATCCCTTCCCGCTATATCAGAGCCCTATCCATGCTTCCTCCTTGCTCCTATCCAATACCTCTACGATCCCGCATTGTATTTTCGCTGTTCCCACTACTATTTCCCCCCGTTTACTCATAATTGCGCCTCCACAACTATTATCCCGTAGCACCCACCCTTTGCCACAATGATCGTGGCACCCCTACGTTGTGCATTTTTTGATATCCTTGTCTATTCCCTTCAGTACGCACCACTTTCTAACACAACGTTGAACCCCTGATAGTACTTCAATGAAAGCACTCGCATTACAGAAGATTCGTCTCAAATTTTCTATGTACGACTAGCCGCAGCAGAAATAAATTACTGACTCTTACATGGCAATTAAATTACACATATTTTTTGTTACGTATCGTATTGTACTCTCTTCACATTTCCGTCTGCCATTCCGCCTTCCTGTTGCTATCCCCACGATCTCTGCGCTCCCCTCAGACTCTCGTGCTTGTCTCTACGGAACCTTCTGGCTGTCACTCGCCCACGGAAGGGCTGTGCGTTCTCCATCCGGAACTGCCCCTCCACGGGAACTGCCCCTCCCACCCCTCTCGAGGCGCGGCGCCTCTAATCCAATTGCGGCGTCCGGGACTGTACGCGCGCCCCTTCGCTCCAAGGGGAGGTTGAGGCGGGGTTG